GAGAGGTATGGGGGACTCTGGAGAGAGACAGGGGCCCAATCACAGTGGTGAAAGGCCTGCTGAGAAGAGGGAGTGGGAGATACCCTCGGTGGTGGGGTAGCTGACAGAATGTGGAAACCTTCTATCACCTCTGGCAACATTCTTGTGAGTGGTGAACTCAAGGAAAATGAGGAGGATTCCATCGTTCGTTGGACCAGGAGCACAGGGAACAGAGAGAGCTGTGGGAGGTGAGATAGTGAGGGCGAGAGCTCAGAGGGGCAGGCAGGGAGAAACACACCAACTTCCTGGAACTGGTGAAAACCTGAGGACAGGGGTTTAAAGCAATCTGATTCAAATGTCAAAGTACAGGAAGACCTCAACCTACCTAAACAAAATTGGGCCCTGCACCTACCAGTAGTGGTCTCCTTTAAGATTTTAAATACATTAAAACAAAGCACTTCAGGAGATGAGACTGGGATAGTGCTCTGAAGGCAAACTCTAGAAGGAATGAGGTAGAAAAAAAAGCCATGCCCCAAATCTCAAGTTTGGGTTTTTTAATTAAAAAAATTTTTTTTTTCACTTTGAACTCTTTTTTTCAGTCATTCACCATGTCCCTTTCTGTAATGTCCTTCCTTCTGAGAGGCAGCCTGATGCAGGGGAGAAATCATAGGCTTCCTGGTCAATCATCTGTGCCTTTGAATTCTGGCTGTGTCATGTGCTACCTATGAAAGCAAGCAAATTGCTTAACCTTCGAGCTTGTCTTGCATTTGTAAAAGATAGATGATAATACCAGCTTGCAGGGTTGTGTGAGGATTCAGGGAGATAAAGTGTGGGAGGGATCTAGTGAAGTGGCTGACAGGAGATGCTTTGTCTGTCCCTCTGTCTGTCAGTCTGTGTTGACAGAGTGAACAAACAAATGGATGATGGCCAGACCAGACATAAAAATAGAACTCTGACCCACACTCTGCAACAACCAGTCCAGGAACACAACACATTATCAACAGCCAGACCAGGAAGCCAAGCAACTATGTACAAGTCAGACTTGTAGGAAGTCAGACCTCTATCTCTATCACACAGTCCTGTAACAATCTATCCCAAATGCTCAAGACCTGATTAGTAACTGACAGAGACTTTAATTTTTGTCCCTGCTTTCAACTTAAAACCAACAAGAGAAAAAGCCAAATTCACACCCCTAACAGTCACATAGAATGCCGTGGTTCTACTTAGCCAGCCTACAGCTTCTCATGCCACAGCCACTAACCAGGGCACATCTGCAGCCTTCCCCTGTTTCCACTATAAAGATTTCCACTCCTGTGCCTGCATTTGAATCTCTGCCAAAATGCAAGTGATGGTGGCTGACTCTCTTGCTGTAGCAAGCTCTAAATAAATATCCTTTTTCTATTCTAATTTGGTTGGTCTTTGTTTATTTCCACAGTGTCTTATTTTTTCTGATTCTCCTCCTGCTATGGACTGAATTTTTGTGTTCTCTCAAAATTTATGTTAAAGCCCTAATTCCCAATATGATGGTATTCAGAGATGGGGCCTTTGGAAGGTAATTAGAGTTAGATGAGGTCATGAGGGTGGGGACCTTATGATGGGACTAGTTCCCTTATAAGAAGAGACACCAGAGAGCTTTCTCTCTCTCTGCCGTATGAAGACCCAGCAAGAGGGTGGAGGCAGACGTCTTTAAACCAGGAAGAGAGCTCTCACCTGGAACAGAATTGACCAGCACCTTAATCTTGGACTTCCCAGCCTCTAGACCTGTGACAGAATAAGTTTCTGTTGTTTAATTCACTCAGTCTATGGTACTTGGTTATGGAAGCCTGAACGGGCAAAGACATTCCCCTTTTCTCTTTGATGCCCTTCCAACCCAAAGCTCTGGACCTTCCAAAACCCTCTGGTCCCATCACACTTGGTCTGTTCATCACCAAACGAGGCGTGCACTCTGTTAAGGGATAACTTGATCAATATGTTGCCTGTATAGTGCACATTACTCAGCCTAGGTGACAAATGTACTTCTCCTGGGCTCTCCTAGAGATAGTACCTTGACAAAGAAGGACTGACTCCATTGGTGGGAATTTCACGCCTCATGGAAGGCTCGGCATGTAGAGCCTATCTATATATCAGGATATATCTGATCTTGGTCAATACCCATTCACTGAGCATGTAAGTTTTGAAAGTTTAAAGATTCATAGATTCAAGAACTATGTGTATATATATATAGAGAGAGAGAGTCTCAGTCTTGGGTCTCTTAGGGTCCAAGCATGAAGTTTACACAGGGAAGTGCATTGAAAGTGTACTTTTTGTGGGGACTGAGTGATGATTTTTAAAAAAAATGAATATCTCGTTTATACAGCTAGCATAATAATGGCTATTTACCCAGGCTAAAGGGCCACTAGGCTACTATTTCATATTATACAACTTATGTAATTGTAGAAAATTTTAACACACAGAGAGGTGGAAAGAAAAAAAAAGAAAAGAAAAATCAACTATAATTCTACCACTCAAAGATAATCACTATAACATTTGGTATTTGTCCTGACATTCTCTCTCGCTCGTTGTCTTTCTATCCATCCATCCATTCAGCTATCATCTATCTGTACATACACATACATATTCTAATGTATATTATATATTCACATATTTATAAAAACGATATCATACTTTTTTCTCCTTCTTAATATAATACTTTGTAGACATCTTTCTACTGCAATAAGTATACTATACAATAATTTTTTAGCTGTAATATCTCATTATATGGCTATGCAATTATTATGCTCAATCCATCATTATAGGGTATTCAGAACTTTTTCATTTTTTCCTGATTATAAACAATGTTCTTATATTTTCTTTATTTTCTGTCTCTCTCTTTCATATAAACCTCTAATCAGAAGTTTACTTCCTTATAGCATAAGAGATAGGAATCTAAGCGTATTTATTTCCAAATTGCTGGGCAGTTCTTTCAATATTAGTTATTGAACTATCTCTATTTCCCTATCAGTTTGCAATACTTCATCACACCCTAAATTCCCAAGGTTTCCTTTAGAGTTTCTGTTGTGTTCTATTCTCCTGTTTGTATAACTCTATGATAGGGATACCCTCTTCAACAATTATAGTATTTAATGTATTTATTTGATATCTGATAGAGGAAGGAAGCTCTCATCTATTTTTTTTTCAGACAAATATTCTGACTTTGACCAGAGACACTCACAATGAATAAAATGAATACATTTGTGTTTATCCTCTCTGATCGCTCTTTCTTTTCTAGAAAAAAAGCAGGGTGAGGAGATTACACGAGCACGAAGCAGGCACAAGGATCTGTGTGGAGGTCAGAATGAGTCACAAGCTGAGTGATAGGTTCTTCACAGGTGAAAAATTTCCAAGCAGCCAGTGCACACTTCTGGGTTACTCTCATCACTCAATGTGAAAGTCAGCCACCTGTGACTGTCTCCTACTAGACTAGGGGTTGTCAAACCTCATCACACATTAAAATCATCCAAAGAGCTTTTCAAGTAACGATGCCCAGACCCCATTCCAGACTGAGTGAATCAAAATCTCTCAGGCAGTGGTGTCGAGGCACTGGTGCATTTGCAAAGCTCCCCAGGCAATGCTATTGTGCAGCCAGGGCTGAGACCCAATGCAAGAGACTGTACACTTCCTGTACTCAAGACCTGTGCTATTTCTCCACTTGGGATTCCCAGTCCTTTGTCCCACTCCTGATGTGTGGAGGAACACAGCAGAACTGAACCGAACTCAGATGAAGCCACTGAGACTCATACATCTCTACTAGTTCTCCGAGGGAAAGGGACATAGATTATTAGTGCCCAACAGTACTTGTGAGTCCTCTTGACTTTCTCACAGCCACACTGGAAGAAGTAGCTCTAAGAGGGAGGAGAACGATCTCCCTCTTGGCCCAGTAAAGATCTCAGTTCAAAGTCTGAAATTAAGAGGACTTGGAGAAACTCTGGTCTGTCCTCTCATTTTAACTCGGAGCTCAGAGAGCTTAAATGACTTTGCAAGGTGGCATAGCTCTTCGTGGCACGTCTGGAACTGGAACCCTCTCTTCTCATCCCAGATATCTGTGTTGTACCTTGCTGCCCTGTGTGAGTCCGTGTGGGTGAGTATGTATACATGTGTGCCTATGAGCATATAAGAAGGTGGATGTGTGACTGGGTGTGTGAATGCGTGCATTTGTGCATGTGGGCCTGTGTTGTGTGTGTATGTGTGTACAAGGAATAGCAGGAAGCATGGAACCTGAGCAGAGCTAGATCCCTCCTACAGAAGTAGTCACATTATGATAAATAGAAAATCAGGAGCCTTTTCTCCTCTCTTTCCGGCAGTTGGTTTGCTGTGTTATCTCCGTGTTGACCTCAGTCCGGTCCAGCAGTGTTTGCCTGGGAAGCAGGGTAGGCTTCCAAGTGTCAGCACCAGCCGTGCAGGAGGTGCTCTGCGCTCAGGTTTACTGAAATGGAATTCGGGGACCGGCTATAGCAGCGATCTCTGACTGGGTCTGGTGTGAGTTGGTGTGTTGGGACAGTGGGGAAAGCATGGACCGTGCCTTGACTGACTTAGAGTCCAGCATTGCTCTCTGGATAGATGGCAGTTTTCTCCATCTGTAAATTCAAGTCCAATAGAAGTGGCTATCCTCGTGTTTTGCTGCATGTGTGGTGTCCTCCTCAGTCAGTCCTCTCTTTTCATCACAATGTCCTCCAGGGTGCTTCTTGGCCAGGCCTGAGAGACTTGGATCTTGGCTCAAGGCCTGCTTCAGGGGACTCTGTGCTGAGACAGCTTAGCCAGGCCCAAAGTCCCTCTTCCTTCTTCCAGTTTTCAGGGAGGCCACCTGGAGAAGGCAGAGCCTGCCCAGGACAGCCTTTGATGGGTCTGATCTGCGAGCTGGGCCCTGACGTAACAGAGCGGGCTTGTTAGATCCAGAAAACCTAAGCTCATATTTTCAAGGAAAAACCTCTGCAGAAACAAAATCAGCCAAGAGTTGAGTGGGGCAATGCAGAGTGGAGGCTTACCTGAGCAGTTGGAAATCACCGTCTCACTGGCTTTGCTTTTAGTCCAAATAGTTCGGATCACAATGGCATAGATGACGCTGTGGAAAGGACCAAAGGTGATATTAAAATGGCTGATGGATCCCTACTGTGAGGACACAGGGAGAGGATGGCTCCCGCCTCCCTGATTGTGAGGTATGGATGAGCGTCTCTCAACCCCGCCTGCCCCCTACACTTGCTGATTATAGAATCACAGCCGGTCAAAACCAAGAGCCACCATAAAGATCAGCGGATGCAGCTACTTGTTGTTGTTGTTGTTGTTGAGGAAGGTTCATCCTGAGCTAACATCTGTGCCAATCTTTCTCTACTTTATATGTGGGTTGCCACCACAGCATGGCTGACAAACAGTGTAGGTCCATGCCAGGCAACGGAACCCATGAACCTGGGCTGCCAAAGCAGAGTGCACTGAATTTAACTACTAGGCCACAGAGCTGGACCCAGCTACTTGTTTTTCACATGAGGAGGCTAAGACTGGTGAAGTTAAAGGATTTCTGTAAGATAATTCAAGTGGTGAGAGGTATAGCTGAGATCAGAATCCAAATACAGGATTTGGAGTCAGAAAGATTTAGATTTGTAACCAGTTCTTCTACTTGCTGGTTGTGTGACCTTGACTTTAGACTGTTTTTATTGTGGCCCCATGATTCCTGCCTCTGGTGTTCATACCTTCATGTGATCCTCTCCCCTTGAGTGTGGCGGGACCTGTGACTTGCTTGTAATCAATGCATTGGGTGAAGGTGAGGGGATGGATGCCTGTGGTTACATAAGAGTGTAGCTCCTGTCTCGCTAGTGTCTCTCTCCGTTGTTGGCTTGGAAGAAGCAAGCTGCCATGAGTCCTACAGTCCCAGGAGATTAATTCTCAAGAACCAGTGGGAGCTGAGAAGAAGATCTTTCTCCAGTTGAGCCTCTGATGGCACCCCAGACACATTGATGGCTGCCTTGTCTGAGCAAATGAATCGGGTAAGCCATTTCCAGACTCCTGACTCTCAGAAACTATGAGATAATTAAGGTATAATGGTTTAAGTCACCAGGTTCATGAAATTTGTTATCCAGCAATAGATAACTAATACACTTAGTAATTTGAGCTGAATGTTTGTGTCGTTCCAAAATTCATATCTTGAAATCCTAATGCCCAATATGATGATGTTTGGAGGTGGGGCCTTTGGGAGATGATTAGGTCATGAGGGTAGACCCCTCACAAATGGGATTAGTGTCCTCGTAAGAAGAGACCCGGCAGAGCTCCCAAGCCCCTTCCACTATGTAAGGATTCAACAAGAAGTCTGCAACCTCAACAAGGGCCCTCACCCAGCCGTGATCTCAGACTTCCAGCCTCCAGAACTGGGAGAAATCAATTTCTGTTATTTACAAGGCACCTATTCTGTAGTATTTCGTCATAATAGCCTGAATGGACTAAGACATTGGGCCTCAGTTGAGACCGTAAAATGGAGTTAATCATACAAACCTCTTAAGAGTCTTTTAGAGATCAAACGTGACATTTAATGTGCCAAGCACAGTGCTTGAAAATTAGCAGAGACTCAATAAATGTCATTTTCCTTACCTTCTTCTTTCTCCATTTTTCACATCATATCACATCTACTCTTGATATAATCTCTGTCTAACAGGGAAATGCATTAATGATTCAAAAGCATCAGCAAATTTTGTATCTTACGTCCCCTTTGATAAATATAAAAATTTATATCCTTTAAAAATGTTATTTGACATTTTGAATATATTAAGTACTTCGACTAAAAACTTTGGGAGAAAGTACCGCTTTGTTTTAAAACTGCATAGACTTCGCTCTTGAGAGTCACTGGTTTAAAACAGGGCTCTAGTCTGCAGTAGCTGACAAAGCACTAATTGCTTTTAGTAATGTTTAGAATATAACAATGAATGACTGTGGTAAACCCTCTGCTCCTGTTGCTTTTCCCTTTCTTGCTCAGTGAACCCCTCCAAGGGCTCCAGGAAAGCTTGGGGCCTTTTTGTGGTATCCTTGCTCCTTCTCATATACCTGCCCGGGGACTTTTCTGGAATTTGTATGTCTACGTTAAGGAAAAAATGAGAAAAACATTACTAGGCGCCTGTTCTTTACTCTAAGTTAAGTATCTGTTATAGCAGGAAACTTTTCTTCCAGGGAAATGAAATACGAAGCAAGGTTACAACCACCTTGAAGCATTAATTGTGTATTATCAATGCACTCCCAGTGCTTAATTGATCAATAATTCAAATATTTATTGACCATCAACCATACACATAATAGAAAATGAAGAAAAGTCTAATGTGTTAGGGGTTTGGGCCTATGTGGCCCCCACCTCATGTGCTTAGGACAATCAGGCAAGTGGAAAGCCAGTTCCAGCTTCACTGGTAGCTGGGAAAACCCAGGTGCCCCCTTCATTTATTATCCAAATCAAGGGCTTCTCAGAGTGTAACATCATGCATCAGAGAGACCTCTGAATTATATTGGCCTCCTTTCTCCTCCCTCTCATTTCTTTCATCCAGTTAATCAGCAAGTTCTGTGGATTGCCTCCTTGATATCTCCATAATTTGTACCTTCCTCTCCATTCCTGCTCTTCAGCATCAGTTCGGAAACTTACAATCTCTTTTGTATATTTTGATGATTTTTTTTATTGTGGTAACATAAACATAACATAAAATTTCCCATTCCAATCATTTTTAAGTGTCCAGTTCAGGGGCATTAAGCACATTTACAATGTTGTGCACATCACCATCACCCCTCTCCAGAACTTTCTCATCTTCCCCAACGGAAACTCTGTACCCATTAAATGCAAAAATATGGAAAGCTTCATGAACTTGTGCGTCATCCTTATGCAGGAGCCATGCTAATCTTCTCTGTATTGTTCCAGTTTTAACATATGCGCTGATGAAGGGAGCACCCCTTATAATCTCTTGCCTGATTATTCCATAATCTTCGAGCACTCTGCTACCATCTCAAATGCCCAGGCTGCCATCTCAACTGGAGGTCTAGGACAGACAGCCATTCCCTGACGTAAAACCCCACCAGTGCCTCCACTTTCCTGTAAGATAATATCCAGTCTCTTAAGCAGGACATCTGAAGCCTCCCACAACCTTCCTGGCCTTCTTCACCTTGAACATCATCACCCTGCTTATAATCATTTATTATGCAAGTAATGTATGATTACAATGGAGTAGAATGCTGTGAAGATAAAATGTGGGGTGATGCGAGAGTATGTAATAGGGACCCTGACTGGTTCCGGGGGTCAGGGAAGCCTTCCCAGAGGAGGTGAAATTTCAGCTAAGATCTGAACGATAAAATAGTTTTTTAAATGCAGATGGGGGTGATCATTCAGGCAGGGGGAGCAGCATATGCAAAGGCACAGAGGCAGGATGGAGCATGGCACATGTGAAGAACTTAGAGAAAGACAGTGTGGCTGAAGCATGTGCATAGACAGTTTGTGTGGCCTAAGAGGAGGATGGAGAGTGAGGCAAGGACCAGATCATGCATGGCCTTGTGTGTGGGGTTAAAGGTTTTGAACTTTATCCTGAAACAATGGAAATCCACTGAAGGGCTCTAAGCAGGAAAGTGAAATGAAACATTTTCTTTCAAAGATCAGACATTCTTCAGTATATTTAATCTGTTTCTATGCATAGGTATATGCTGGGATAGAAATTGAACAGTCCTGGAAGGGTATACAAGAAATTCTTAACAGTGCCACTTCTGAGGAGTGGGACAGGGAGGGAAGTGGGAGGAAGATTTTTACTTTTTATTTCGTACTCTTTTGTATGATTAGCAATTTCCCAAATAAAAATGATGGCCCTGGCTGTGGTGTGGAGCAGAGATTGAAAAGGCTAAAGAGTGGATAGGAAGTCATTTAATTAGACTGAGTGAAAGATGGCGATAGTCATGGGAGTGTCTACCGACTCAATTGTCTTTGCATTTTATTCCATCTCTTTGTGAAATGACTACGGTAGCGTGGCCTGAAGATAGGGAAGAGAGAATATGCTCTGGAAGCAATCTGAGCCATTTGGTTTAGGAATCCTGAAAGAGAAACAAGAGTCGTGTGCCCCACTTCTCACCCCAGTATCCATGAGGGCATGGTCAGGAGGGAAGCGGGCAGTATTGAGCCCTGCAGTATGCCAGTCTCTCTCTAAAGCACTTTACATCCTTGTCTCATTAACTTCATCAGTTAACATGGTACTGGGCACTGTGTGGTAAATGCTTAATACATATTGATTGTCAGTTTTATTTCACACAAGTTCTTACTTTATGATTTCATATATGAACTATGGGCAGAGGAGTTTATTGCCCCCATTTTATGGATAACAAGGGTGAGGTCCATGACTAGAGAGTGTCAGAGATGAGATTCAAATCAAGGTCTGTTGGCCACCAAAGCTCTGATGTGATGTTGATAGTGACAGTGGTAGCGTCTTGCTCACTATAACAGTCAACCAAGAATTATTCCAAGCCCTTAGTGGAAATTATCTCATTTACTCTCTACAACTACTTTATAGGGTTGATGCTAGTATTATTTCCATTTGCTAGATGGGAAGACTTCAACTTTGAGAGGTTCAGTAACTTGTCTGAGTTTAAAAAGCTGGAGGATGGCAGAGGTGTACCATAGCCTGGATCCTCTGACTTCAAAGGCTTGTTAACCAGCATATGATGTTGTCTCACAGCAAGGAGGGTGCACAATTTCCTCTGGGGCATGTATTTGGGCTACATGTGGTTTATATGTTTCTATTTACTTCCTGAATGCCCTCTTTGATTCCTAGATCCCCCCCTGCTATGGATCCCATAGGACTCTCTATACTCTGCCATAACGCTCATTACATTGTGTTGTAACTTCTCTCTTAATTGGTTGCCTTCTCTGTTATACAGGAAGATCCCTGAACCCAGACACTATATATGTCTTGCCATTTCTCTATCTCCCTAGCCTGGACCAGTGTCTGGCAGAGAATATGTGCCCTACAGGTATTTCTGGGAATGATGAATGAGTGGAAAGAGGCATAAAGGGTCAGGGTCTCAGAAGCATATCTGTGTGTAGTTGGGCTCAGGGAGATGTGAAGGCAGACACAACTTTTGGGGAAAATGTAGTAATAGCTTGGTACTTAAGAAGCTAAGAAAAACTTAAAGTCCTGATATATACAGTCTATTGGTATCAGGTTCAGTGGGCTCTCAGGACACAGAAAGCCAATCAAAGGGATGCCCTTAGTGATTCACTTGGTACCACTGAATTAACTGACATTTCCTAAAGGTCAGAGTTTACTCTGATGACTTCAGAAGTTCAGATAAATTCACTGATGTCTGGAACCAGTAAGTATGGACAGTTGGGTATCAGTGAGGATGTTTTTTGTAGCAAGGTACAGGAAACTCCCAACTCAAATTGGTCTAAACAATTAGAATATTTCTTTTTTCCCATATTTGGGACTTCAAAGGGTCAAAGCTGAACTTTCTTTCTTTCTTTCTTTGAGGAAGATTAGCCCTGAGCTAACATTCGCCACCAATCCTCCTCTCTTTTCTGAGGAAGACTGGCCCTGAGCTAACATCCATGACCATCTTCCTCTGCTTTATATGTGGGACGCCTACCAGAGCATCGCTTGCCAGGCGGTGCCATGTCCACACCAGGGATCCGAACCCGCGAACCCTGGGCCGCTGAAGCAGAACATGAGAACTTAACCCCTGCCAGGCTGGCCTCTCAAAGCTGACCTTTAGAAATCTGGGTTCCTTCCATCCCTTCCTCTTTTCTTTTTCAGTGTAGGTGTCTTCGCAACAGCTCCAGGTGCAATCCAGAGACAGCGATGTCCAGAAGAAGATGAGAAACCATCTTTTCCAAAAGCTCTTAGGAGATACTCCTTCACATTTCATTGGTTAGAACTGGATCACATGGCCATTCCTGAACCATTCACATGCCCGAGAGGAGGGGTTGCCATGTGTAGCTTAGAGTGGAATGGATATTGGAAATTTAATCACAAACATCTACCATAACCTAGCAAACTAGTAAGAATGGCTTTTTCAAAAGACATAACTCTTATCACCCCTTGGGTAACAGTATAGGATGTCACTTCCTTCACCCATGTGAGGGGTCTTCTTCTTTGGCCTTGGACCTCACGCCCATGGACAGTGCTGGGCAGGCCCCTGGGGTCCTTTGGCTCATCATGGCCTTGTATTGCACAAGGCTACCAGCCTCAGCATGGGGATTTCCCACAGTCTGGTGCCCATTCCTCAAGCAAAACAAATTGGTATCTTCATATAACACAAATCAATGCTCTATGACAAACATGCTTTTTTCTACTTATTCCTTTGCAATTGTCAGCCATGGATCTTTTATGTCTTTACCTTTATCTCCTAGAAATAAAAATGATAGGAGAATGAGAAATCAATGAGATGGTAAGAAAATAACCATAGCCAAAGTACAGCAATTACACCAAGGCTAATAACCTCCTCAGAAAGAGTTAGATAGTTATGTCAAGTGAATTTTGAAACAACAGGAGTTGTGTTGACCCAGAAAACAATATATTGCCTTTACTGTCAGTCACTACGCTTTCAAGTCTCAGGAGCCTGATTTAGTTGATGACAGAACAGCTAACTCTTTACTCATACACAGCTCTCAGGAGAGTTTGCAACAGATAATACAACTCCTATTACGTATATATATGTGTGTGTATATATATATATATATATATATATATATATAGCACATATCAATTTGGTAAAGATATATACATGTATATGGCATGCATGAGTAATAATGAAGATGAGGAATGGTTAACAAAGTGAGTGAACGCCTTCTTCGAGTGGTATCTTTTGTCTAGTTAAGCTTGGAATTAAGAGTTTAACTTTATCTAAAAGAGCCAAAAGCAACAGAATCAAACTCAGAGGGCAAAGTGTGGTTAAAAAGGAAAGAAAGAAAACAAAAAAGGACTTAAACCTTAGCTCTGAGAGACAAAATTGAAGCAACTTATCCTAGGAACTAGTTGGAAAACAAATTCCTCACAAAATTCCACCAGGGCCTGGTCTTGGTTCAAGAAGAGAGGAGGAGCTGACCGAGGTAGAGGATGCTGTGTGCCCAGAGAGAAGCTCTTTCTTCGGCAGGAGCCTGACCACGGAAGAGTGAACGTAACGACTGGGCAGGTAGGAAATGCTTCAGAGAAGCGCAAGGACTGAGGGAGCTCATTTGGGACTTCCTTAGTTCTGCCGTGGCTGGAAGCAAGGAGTGTGAAGAGGATTTAAGGAGGCCTTAGTCTGATGAGCGCTGAGTGAAACTTGCTTTTGAAGACATCCCTTCTAATCACCAAATCATACTTTGCTTTTCCCAATGACACTAAATAATGCACAACTTGGGCTGCAGGCAAGTTTCGGGAGAGGTCCTGGTGGGAAGAAGCAGCTCGAATTAATGGGGGGAATTTAGGACAGTAAAAGAGCCAAATGATAGATCTGTTCAGACAGCGCATCATGAGCCACGTGGCTCGCGCACTGTATCCACCCTGCTGAGCAGGAGTTTTGACTGATTTCACCAGCTGATGGGAAGTCAATCAGGAGAGAAGCGAGGACATGCACTGTTACTGAAATCAATGCGTCAGTTGCCGGTGACAGCCTGAGCTGCTTTCTTACCACTATGACTAGCCTCTCTCCTCTTCCCTGTGCCCCTCGAACGCAGCTATGACTTACCTACGACTGACTGTCTAAATAACCTTCACCTTTCCTTCAAGTTTCCTCCCAAGTTCAAGTTGGCGGAGAGGAAGGCAGTGAGTTGAGATAAAAATGTAGATGTTAATTTGTGAATTCACAGAGATCACGGGACAATCTCAAATCTCAGCAAGGCTGCTGGGCTGGTCATGGAGGTCACCGTGCTCCTGCCCAGCTTGACCTCTGATGGAGAGCAAGTCATTTTGCTTCTTTTAGCCCTAAGTCTACTCTTGTGAAAATTCAGGGGCTGGACTATATGATGGACAGCATTTCTCCAGCTTTAGTATTTTACGAGAATAAAGATGAGCCAAAAGCACGAACAAACGATAACCCATAAAGTCAGAAAACATTTGAAAAATACCTAACCCCTTAATAATCAAAGAATAGCATATTGAAACAATGAGATACATTTTTTAACTTCTATGTTTGGCAAAGATGTAAGGAAGACATGGTACCACTTCTGTTGGGTCAGTGGAAGAACAGTCAGAGCTCCTGTTTGCTGTTGGCAGGAATATGCCTTTTCTGGAGGGCGGTTTATGAATATCTGTCACAAGTCTTAAAATGGGCATCATCTTTGCTCTAGCAATTCCACTAAACTGAGTTCCGAGGAAATCATCAGAGACTCATGAATAATTTTAAGTACAAAGATTTTTATCACAGCATTATTTATACTGTCAATATCCAAGGCTGGTCTTCCATCTCCCAGGACAAGTTATGGGACACATCATGGCGGGCTTGGGGATGCATGAGAGGTGCAGGAGCAGCATGGTCCACGTACACACTCAACATGCCAGATAACTCCCTGCAGTCCCCCATCCCATCCACCCTTGCAGGGCCACCCTCTCAGAGGCGATCCTGCCATGTGACCTAGTGAGACCCTGCCTTGTCCAGGTGGTCATGGTCTTCACAGCTGAAAGACCATCTTTGGCTCACCATTGGCTGCAGGACAAAAAGAACCTCCTATGGCTTGGTTGCTAAGGCCCTTCACCATGGAGCCTCACCCCACCCAGAAAGAGCTTATTGCCAACTTCTCCCCCACAGGCACTGTCTGCCTGTCCTTCCTTGTCGCCACACACTCTGACCTCTGCTGGCCAGGAAACCTGCTTTCTTTCCACCTTCCCCTTCTCCTGTCTGAATCCTTCCCTCCTTCAATGGTGGCTTCCAGAAAGTATTCCCTGCCATTACCTGACCTCACTGCACACACTCTCTAGCATGGTTTTTGTGCGTACTGTGCTTTTTATTCAGTTTTGTTTCAAGTATGTCTACTTTTTCAATTACAAGATTTATGAAAGCGGTACCAGGTCTTATATTTGAAAGGCTGCATGATATAGGAGAAAGAACAGGTTTGACACGCGACAAACCTGGGTTTAAATCCTGTGTGATGTTGGGTAAGTTACTTAACCTCTCTGAGCTTGAATTTTATCATTCATAAGATGGGGACAGCAATAGTTATTTCATAGAGTTGTAGTGTGGTTAATGGGATAATTGGTAGTCATTTAGTACAAAGCCTGTTCCATGTTACTCAGAAAAGGTTAGTTCCCTCCTCCTTCTTCCGCTTTGGAGCAGTTGGACTTAGCACATAGTAGCTTTAGGTAAAATCCTGTGGTCTGGCCTGTTCTCCCAAGGACACTAGGAATAATGAGTGGCCTACAGGGGAGAGAGCAGCAGTTGGCAACCCAGGAAGGCCCCCGTGGGTCTGGCCTGCTGGCCTCTTACCTGATGATGGTCAGAGGGATGAAGTACACCAGGAAGGCCACGATGGTCATGTACGGGGTCCAGTAGGAGTCATCAGGCCACAGGGCCCAGCACTGTACTTCACCACTGGGGAGCTTCCTTTTCCCAAATATGATCAGGGTGGGAATGGAGAACAGGAAAGAGAGGCCCCAGGCAATCACAATGAGGACCCTGGCTTGCTTTTCTGCTCAAAGAAAAGAGAGGGATGGCTGGGCATCTGGAAACATCCTTTGGGGAGCACAATTGGAGTCGAGTATAGAAAAGGGTCTCTATGTGAGAGGAACTCTGGACCTCCCAGGGCCTCAGTTGCCTCATGTGTAAATGGGGATCACAGGACCCGCATCTGGGGCTGATGCAAGGATGAGAGAGATTAGGGAGAACCCCTGCACAGAAGCTGACACCCTGCCTGGCATAAGGGCCGTGCCCCCTAATTGCTACTTCCCCTCTCCTGACTTGAAATGTCGAGGCATCCGTTCCCATAGTATCAGGGAGCTCCGTTTGTCCCATATACATTTAACGGTTTGCTGTGCGAATGCGTGCCTCTGGTTACGCTGCTGATCTTCAAAGGCAGGGACGCAGCCTTGGTCCGTCTGGCGTCCTTCTGTTGTAGCAAAGTGGCCCCCCCAGAAACATCCAGTTTAAATTTTGATAATACATTCATACATAATGTATAGATTACATATATATAAAGATGAAATAATAATATATATGCTTTAACCTAATTATTTTCTCTAAAAACAATTTGACCATCTTTTTGTGTCAAGAATTCTGCGTCTATACAAGTGGCATTCAGAATTTTTCAGGTAGTAAGAGCTTTTCTCAAATATAATTTTATCTTCAGCCCAGTGCAGGAAGCCCAGGTAGCTCAGGTTGAAGCTGGGTGAGAACCAGAAACTTCCAGACCTGCCCTGGAGTAGTTCCACAAATTGAGCCCTCAGTGGGCCAGTGTGTGAAGTGCCCTTTGAAGAGTACTGATAAAATAACATTTTTCCATGGTTACCTCAAACTCCGATTTTATCAGTAGCCTATTATTAAGTATTTAAATGGTTTCCAATTATTTTTTATTATAAATAATTCATAGGTATCTCTTGGCACTGCTCTGGTTGTTTCCTTAGGATGAACTCTTATAATCAGAAGATTTGGGAAAATATTGTTAAATTTCCCCCAAAAGTGTCTACAATTTTTAGGCTCCCACAGGAAGTGTACAGAAGTTCCCATTTACTTATATTCTCTCACCCCCAGAAGATTCTTCCTCTTAATCTTGTTATTTGGTTGGTAAGATTTTCTATGCAAATGTCTAATCTTGCAGTTCCATAATTAGTAGTGAAAAGAGCATTTCTGTATATCTTTTATTCATTTGTGTTTCCCTGTTTCTTAACACTTTGTGCATGTCCTTTGCCTACTTTTTCAATTGGTATGTTCTAATCGCTTTGCCAGAGTTCTTTATAAGGATCTTTAGCTCTTTGCCTGTTATATGTAAATGTTTTCTATTTGTCATTTTGTTTTTTAAACATGTTTACAATGTTTATTATTTATATAAATAATTTTAAATTTTTATATAGTAAAATCTATGTTTTGCTTATTGTCTCTGCTTTTGGTATTATTCCTAGAAAGATCTTTTCCACACCAAAACTGTAAAAGTTTTACCCACACCCATATCCTTTCATGTTTAAAATTTTTACTTTTTCAGTCCAACTGGAATTTCTCTGTAATTAGCTGTGACAGGTGGTGATTTAACGTATTTTTAAATGGCTGGAGAGCTATTCTAGCACCACGTACTGACTAATTCATTCTTTTCTAACTGATTTGGTATTCCACATGCTTTACATTAGGTTATTCTGGTTCCAGTGTCATCTTGTTTTAATTATCAAGTTTTATATTATGTTTTAATTTCTGGCACTGCAGATCTAGCTTCATTATTAGTTGACGTTTTCCCAATTGTTCTCATATTTACTTTTTCCTGAAGAGCCTGAAAATCGTCAACTTCTCTGGAGTTGCTGGCTAAGGAAACTACCACTTCAGTGAAAAGCAGTAAAAAAAATCAGTAAAATGTGGCCTCCCAGTGTCCTCTCCTTCCTCTGGTTTGGTTGTCACTGCCTTGTGTCTGCTCAGCCACGTGGGACTCCCTCCCGGCTTCCACCTGCTCCATTCTTCGTGGGAGAGCTCTGCTGCTCCATGAGAAATCTCCTTCTCCTGGCTTCTCAGATAAGATGCATAAACTCCTAACGCTGCCCCTTACAGCTGCCCTTGAACTCCCATGAGCTGTAGCCCCAAGACGACTCCAGCGTAGGTTCCCTGGACCCTCTCACGCCCTCTTCTCACCTACCACCTCACCCTATAACTATGAGGACCTTTCCGACTTCCTACAAGGCCATGCAGCTTTCTGAGGGGGCTTGATCCCCATGTTAAACCTGCTCGCTGTGTACTGGGAATTCCTTGAAATTTCTGATATTTGGATGGCATCTCTCCTTGGCTCCCATCCCAGCTACAGGTCTCCCCCATTTGTATGTTTCTTCCATGACTTCAGTTGGAATGGGGCAGAAGAAGGGAAAATGGCTAATGTCTGTTTCCAAGCTTTCATCTTTCCCCAAAGCTATTGGAGATGATTATTTTCCAAGCGCCCTACATCGAGCCTCTGTTAATTTTGTAGTGATGAAATAAATTGCTTCACATCTTTAAAAGAACGCTATAATATTCATTGCTGCCTTTCTGGTAATTTAGGAGTCTGTTTGTGATATTGCACAGTGTCTCCTAGAACTAGTCATATTTCCCCTGAGCTAAACAGTTGATTTTTTTTTGGCCTGATGAATATGATGAGATATGTAACTGACCATGTTTCCCTCTTGGCTATGGATCCTGAAGTCTTCAGCTCCAGCAAGTATCCTGGGACACCCTTTACACATTTTCTTATACTTATTTTCCCTTCGCTCCTATTTCTTCCCCTTGAAACACTCTAATGTAGGTGTCTTTTTGTATACACTACATTCAACTCTTGCTGGAGCCTGCTGGGCGTAAATAAGTAGATGGATGAATCAGTGTATTACATTCTTGCATACGCACATCATAAACTGTCTCTCTAGTTTCCCCTCATCCCATTCTCTGCCTCCTTCTCTACGATAACCACTAGGGCCTGACAGTGTCCAGGAGGCTTGGTGCTGGTTGCACAGCTTCCATAGAAACACACACGAAACCTAGAAAATGCCTAAAAAGGGTGTAAATTCTAATTTGAATTACTTTTAATTGCACCCAACACAACAATATGTTTCTGGTGTGAAATTACCTTCTTGCATGTAAGTCCCTGTGGTCACTATGGCTAGTCCAACTCCCCAGAAATGAGGACAGGTTAGTGTGTGTCCTTGTAGGCGATTCTTATTATTGTGGGACCTCCCTTTTTCTTGCCTTCTCTCCTTCTGCTCTTAACTTTCTCATTCTTTGTACACAATGTCTAGCATTGTTTTGAGTTTCCTTCTTTACGTTAATGTTATATTGCATGGATTATTGTATTCATTGTTTTTATCACTCAAATTGTGATGTAGATCTTTTCACGTGAGTGTGTACTACTGCCCATGGCTCAATTATCTCCTCATTGAGAAGCAGGATGTGTAGTAGTTAAGGGCATCCAAGCTAGACCCAGACAGACCACGTCTGGGTTCAAATCCTGCCCCTTGTACCTACTAGCTGTGTGACCTTGGACGAGTTACTTTAACTCTCTGAATTGCAATTGCCCAGACTGTAAGGTGCAGATAATAATAAAACCTACCTCACAGAGCTGTTGTGAGAATTGAAGTGTTTAACATACCTAAAGAACGTAGAATCATGAATGGCACGTAGTATGCAATCAAGAAACCTAAGCAACTGAAACCTATGTGGGATAGACATTCCTCCATTGAGGGACATCAAGGTTCACACTGAGTTCCTGCTAGTCTAAGTAAGGCTACAATACACGACACATGCGTATACACACACACATGTGGGTGTTTCTCCAGAGACGATATCGAGAAGTAGAATTTCTATGTCAAAGGGCAGCACATTTTATATTTTAATTAGATATTGTTAATTTGCCGTTCAAAGTATCTGTGCCAAGACTGTCTAATGTACTCAAGAGTAACTGATGACATTAATTCAACTTAATTCTAAAATTCTGCTTGCTCTACTAATTTTGCTTCCTTAGGTGTAAATTCTGCAGAATGGTATTTTAAATGTATTATCTATTTTCCAGTTCGGCTTCGTCACATTTTTTATGATATTTGATTGCACCTCATCTTTGTAGTCAAGGTTTCATACTAGGTTCCTCATTTTATCAGTTTTCACAGCCTGCTCGGGAGAGCATAGGGCAGGTCCACAAACGTTGAGTGCTTACTTGCTTTAAGGGGTCATGGAGGAGAGTGGGCTCTGCCTGTAGACAGAGTAATGGACAATTAGACCTGTGACTAGGTACCCACCATCCCGGGACCTCCATCCTAGCTATCCGTCTGGGAAGGGGGAGGATGGCAGGAAGGGAGACATGCTGTGATTAACCCTCCTCATTGTGTTCCAGGAATCACCCTGCCAGTTACCTTGAGTCCTTCTTGCTCTGAGAGTTTACACGGTCCCTTCAGGACGTGCTCCCAATACTCCTCCCACAGTGCTGCGGCATCATCTGTGGGTATTTTGGGCTATGTGGTTTCAGTCTTCCCTCTGACCCAGCTTCTTCTTTCTTTTAGGAATTCCTCACTATCTATGGATTGAGAAGGATTTTCCTTGTTTCCAGGATGATTATCAACTAAAAATATCTTTCCAATTATTTCTATGGTTTTGGGGCAAGGACGGCAAGGGGTTTGTTTCTGGAAAATGAACAAGTTGAAGCTGGGGTGTTCATTTTTTGGACAGGTTTGTGTGTCAACACTGCTCTAAAGGACAAAGCTGGAGGCATTAGCACCAAGGTGAATGGTCAGCAAACCACCTTCCCTAGTGGTTCTTAGCCACCCGTGGACCATCAGCATTTTCTCAGGCACCCAAACTTTCTTTCCTATATTTTTTTGGACCGTCAGATCCATGACGTGGGGGAGGAGGAGAAGAAACGGGGAGGAAGAGAACCATTGTTAAGGGTATAATATTAGCGATAACAATCCCACCTTCCCTCAAGGATGACTCCTTACAGAATAGCACTTGGTCAAGCCAGCTCACCTCCTTGCAGGAACTTCATGGGGTAGACGATGGCGTGGTATCTGTCTATGCTGAGAGACACCAGGACATAGGTAGAGGCGTAGAGCAGCACAACCTGAAGGCAGAAATGAGAGGAGGTGGATGACTTCATAGAAGTGAGGAATGTACATCAAGAAAGAAGAACATTTTGTGCTATTTGGAAACCTGAGCACTGAACCAATGGAGGGGTGAGGTCTGGGTTAGGGAGAGGAATGACTGCCTGCCCACGTCAGGAAGCGGATTGTGGTTCTTGGCACTGGAATTTGCGTTACCAGCGGTGGCAGGTGAGAAGGTTTCCAGCTTTCACTTGCTCACTCATTCATTTGGCTTCTTGGAGACTCCGTATTTCAGGATCAGTCCCTCTTGACATTTGCATGGTACATTTGTTTGTAATTGACTTTTAAAGCTAAATTAATTTTCTCTGCCACAATTGACATTCCAGAATAATTAGAAACAAAAGTTCATTTGCCTTTTATCAGTGTGAGTTGTTGACAGATAGAAAGGATCTGGCTTCAGGGAGACTACGTGGTGTGTTGAAGCATTTGTCATCGTCTGTGCTGACACCCTCAGAGCTCTCCCTCCTCCAGCACTTCTCTAGCAGAGCTGGTCACTAGTCAGTCCTTGGGTCTCCTCTTCCTCCTTCCCATCTTCTTTTATTAACCTGACTCGTGCCCTTAAATTATCTTGTGTTAATTACAGTGTAATTTGCATACTTTGCAGAGAAAAAAATTGGAATATAATAGGTTAGTATATTGCATATGAAGAGCATACTCAAAAATGTAGTTAAATGAAATATCTCTGAAAGGATAGGCAAGGTGGAAAATGTGACTTTGAGCCTCATTTCTACCAAGATTCCAGCCATATCCTGCTTTGTAACCTTTGGGTCAAATCCAGAGCCAGTGGAAAAGTAACTTGAAGACTGAAGTCTTGGGGTGAGTATCTGAATTTCTTCTAAAGCAAAATAGAAAAAACATCACTTTGATAATAATTTTGTCCTGAATTTGTGCCTTTTTGTTCTTTCCCTGGCCTAGGCAAATAGCAATCGACTACATTATTGTTCTTTATTATTTTTACTTCTCTAACACTACTACAAATGCACCTCAGTGCTAATGTTGTGGAAGGTGTCACAGGGAGGGGATTCTGAGGACTGATGAGAGACTGAAGGCTGCCCTAAAGGATATAAGAAGAAATTCTCCTCTTGCTAAAAAGGTGATATATGACAGAGTGAAAAATGATGGCCAAATTAACCCCCCCCAAAAAAAAATCAGATGACTGCCTAGACAAAATTGGGATTTGCATGTGTGATCCATGAACTCAGAATTGGTAAGGCTGGCCACACCCAGTTGAAGAGGTGGCATCAGAGAAGGATGGGAAAGAGAGCTTCCTAGGGCAGAACCCTGTAGAGTGGGATGTCGCAGGGAGAAGGCCTTAAGAATCTCAACCACCTGTGGCTGTGCTGAGAGAAGCGGCCGACACAAGTTCAGACTTTGAAGCAGGAGGAAAGGCACAGTAAAGAGTGCCCGGAGGAGCAGGTGACAGTCATAAAAAGAGATCTACTTTAAGACATGGTCAACAAGAGCATCTAATTTCAAGGGTCTTCAAATATCTAGGCAGGGTAAAAAATATATACCTTAAAGGTTACCTAAAAGAAATGCACCCCAAATTGTCACGCCTCTCCTCCACAAAAACAAATGTCAGAAAACAGTATCAAAACATGTTCAGAGGTTTGAAAAGAAAATTATGATCCAAGAAGTTTGTAAATATCATTTCTGTGCCAAGGCACAGAATAATTTTCTTAGATACATAAAAAGGAAGAAAATATCACATACCCTTCCTGAAAAAATCTTCCTTGAGGAAATATTTCTGTGGATTCAGAATTGTTTCAGAATTAAGAACTCAAGCAGAGGGAAGGGGATAGAACAGTAACAGCTACGGTAACCAATGAGCCAGAAAAACACGAAATGTTTACAAAATTACTTTGAATACAGTTAGGAAACATTCCAGGGGAAAAATCTGGGGAGTTGAGCGAGGGGAGAGAGAAATCATGTTAAATTTCCATTTAGACATCTCTTTTGTTTTTTACTTTAATAGAGACATTAAATTTAAAAATTAAAGGTCAGCTATGATAGAATGAAATAAAAATAGAGATAAAAGAAGGTATTGGTTTCCCATGGCTACTGCAACAAATTACCACAAACTTTGTGGTTTAAAACAATATAAACTTATTCTCTCACAGTCCTGGAGAGACCAGAAGTCTGAAAGCATTGTAACGAGTCCAAATTAAGGTGTTGGCTGGGCCACTTCCCTCCACAGCCTCTGAAGGAGACTCCATCCCTTGTCTTTTCCAGCATCAGGTGGCTGCCCATGTTCCTTGACTTGTGGCCACATCAACCCCATCTCTGAGTTTGTGGTTACACTGCCTTCTCTTCTTCTGGGTGTCAAATCTCCCTCTGCCTCTCTCTTACAAGGAGATGTATGATCGCATTTGGACCCACCAGAACAATCTTCCGATTTCAAAATCCTTAACTTAATCACGTCTACAAAATCCTTTTTTGCCATGTAAGGTAACATACCTAGGTTTCAGGGGTTAGGATTCAGATATCTTTAGGGGGCCATTTTTCAGCCTACTATAATTCGTAACCAAATAAAAAAGGAAGAATAGATAGGAAAACAATTCAACACAGAAAGATTAAAATGAGGTGACTGAAATGACACCAAACACCATTTGTCACAAAAAATGTAAATGGCTTAAGCTCCCTCACTAAACCAAAAACTGTTTACAAAACCCTTCCCCAAATCCCACTGTGTACTGTTTAGAAAAGAAACCTCTAAAACCAAATGATTATTAAAGTTTAAAAATAGAGTGATGATCAAAGGCGTACCAAGCAACTAAAAACTAAAAGGCAACGTTCATTACAATAGTACTATTAGACAAATTAAATTAAAAACAAATAGCACTAGTTGGGATAAAGCAATTATTTATATTGATAAAAGATACAATGTAAGTGGCAGTAGAATATTCATAAACTTACAAGTAACAAGTAACAGAACACTAAATATATATAACTAAAGTGTTCAAAGTTTTACAGATGAAAAAACACAATAATGCCTAGATAGAAAAAATTAAACAAACTAAGAATAACATACATTATTGAAAAATCTAAATGAAATTTCAAAAATTGGTCACATATTAAACTACCAAGAAAAAAAATAACCCTCAATAGATTCCAAAAAGTGGAACTTATGCAATTCACATATTTAAAACAAGCAATAAAAGCTGAAATTAGTATCATGTTTTTTTTTAAATACCACTTGGAAATTTAAACACCCTTATAATTAGCTTGAGTCAAGAAGGAAATCAAAGTACAATTATAGTCAATTCATAAATGTCAACAATGAAAATTCTACACATCAACAACATATGGGATGCCTTTTGGAGAACAGACGGCAGCTTAAGGACATATGTCTGAATTCTCACTACCCCACTCCTCAATTCTGACAAAAATGACCCAGGAACGATGAAACCAAAGAAAATCTTGCAGAGAAGTGAAACTTAAACACAGGAAGCTTAGAGAATTTTCACTTAGAAAAATGCCAGATTGGGTTCATATTCATTTAAAGGAGGATTCTTGGACTGACTTTAAAAAAATTAATAAAATTTACTTTTAGAAAAATTTTAGATTTATAGAAAAAATTGAACAGATAGTACAGAATTCCCATATTACTCCCCCCACACATACACACATACACACTTTCCCTTATTATTAACATCTTACATCAGTGTGGTTCCTTTGTTAAAACTGATGAATCAATATTGATACATTTATTAACTAAAGTCCATGGTTTGTATTGTTTCACTCTTTGTGTGGTACACTTCTATGGATTTTGATAATTGCATAATGTCATGTAGCCACCATTACAATATCTTACAGAAAAGTTTCACTGCCCTAAAAATCTCCTGTCCTTTACCTGTTCAAATCTCTCTCAATTCCTAGCAACCACTGATTTTTACTGTTTCCACAGTTTTACCTTTTCCAGAATGTCACATAGTTGGAATCACACAGTATGCAGTCTTTCAGACTGGCTTCTTCACACTTAGCATGTGCATTTAAGATTCCTCCATGACTTTTCATGGCTTGATAGCTCATTTTGTTTTATTGCTGAACAATATTCCGTTATTGAATGTAACAGTTTATTTATTCTATGTATCATTTTGTGGCTTGCTAGCTCATTTTTTTTTAATTGCTGAATAATATTTCATTGTATGGATATACCATAGTTTATCTTCCCATTTGGCTTTTGAAGAACATCTTGCTTCTAGTTTTTGGCAGTTATAAATAAAACTGCTATAAACATTCTTGCGCAAGCTTTTGTGGGAACATAAGTTGTCAACTCAATTGGGTAAATGCCTAGGCGCTCAACTGTATGTTCAGTTTTATAAGAAACTGCCAAACTTTCTTCCAAAGTGGCTGTACCATTTTGCATTCTCACAAGGAAAGAATGAGAGTCTCTATTGCTACACATCCTCAGTAGCTGAGGATGAAATACTAAATTTGCATTGTCGGTTTTTTGAACTTTAGCTACTCTTTTTTTTTTTTTAAGATTTTTTTTATTTCTTTCCTTTTTCTCCCCAAAGCCCCCCGGTACATAGTTGTATATTCTTAGTTGTGGGTCCTTCTAGTTGTGGCATGTGGGATGCCGCCTCAGCATGGCTTGATGAGCAGTGCCATGTCCACGCCCAGGATTCGAACTGACAAAACTCTGGGCCGCCTCCAGCGGAGCGTGCGAACTTCACCATTCGGCCATGGGGTCAGCCTCTGAACTTTAGCCATTCTAATAGGTGTGTAGTGGTATCTCACTGTTGTTTTAATTTGCAATTCCCTAATGCCATATAACATTAGTTGAGCTTCTTTCCATATGTTTGTTTGCCATCTGTGTATTTTCTTTGGTGAAGTGTCCACTCAGATTTTTTTTGCCCATTTTCAAGTGGGCTGTTTTCTTATTGCCGAGTTTAAAGCATTCTTTATATATTTTGGATACAAAACTTTTATCAAATATGTATTACTCAAACATTTT